TGACACTACATTGTTTTTAAAGCATAAAGGTAAAGATTTATTAGTAGTTCAAATTTATATTGATGATATAATATTTGGTTCTACTAATGATGTTATTTGCCAAGAATTTTCTAAGCTAATGCAAAGTGAGTTTGAGATGAACATGATGGGGGAGCTCTCATTTTTCTTAGGACTCCAAATCAAGCAAAGAAAAGATGGCATCTTTATCAATCAAGCTAAGTACGTCAAAGATATGCTCAAAAAGTTTGGACTGGAAAATGGCATACCTCACGACACTCCAATGAGCTATTCAACAAAGATTGACTTAGATGAAGGAGGTAAATGTGTAGATGTTAAATTATATAGGTCAATGATTGGCTCTTTGCTTTATCTAACTGCAAGTAGACCGGACATTATGTTTAGTGTTTGCTTATGTGCTAGATTTCAATCATGTCCTAAGAAATCACATTTACTAGCTGTTAAGAGAATCTTTAGATACCTTAAGGACACTCCTAGTTTAGGACTTTGGTATCCTAGAGACTCTAGCTTTAGCTTTTCTAATGCGGATTATGGAGGATGCAAATTAGATAGGAAAAGCACATTTGGTACTTGCCAATTCCTTAGAAATATGCTGATTTCTTGGTTTTCAAATAAATAAAATTGTGTTGCATTATCTACCACTGAAGCCGAATACATTTCAGCTGGTAGTTGTTGTGAACAAGTTTTATGGATGAAATAACAATTTTTTGATTATGGAATTGAAGTTGGTACCATTCCTATCAAGTGTGACAATATTAATGATATTTGTCTCACTAAAAATCCCATCCAACACTCTAGAACTAAGAACATTGAAATAAGACATCACTTCATTAGAGACCATGTCACTAAGGAAGATGTAGTTCTAGAGTTTGTTGATACTTTGCACCAATTAGCTGATATCTTTACAAAACCTTTAGACAAGGAAAGATTTTGGACACTTAGGAGAGAATTAGGTTTGACCAACCTATCTTCACTTAGTGTTTAAAATAATTTTAGCACTTTTAAGACTAAATAAAAAAAATGCTTAGAATAGTAATTTTTGATTGCATTCATTGCTATTAGTTAGGGAGAGTTTATGATTCTTGATGAAAATTAACTTTATGTTCAAATATAGTTTAAAGATTAATTTGATTGTTTGAACATCATTAATTTTCAATATATGAGTTGCCAATACAACTAGAGAAAGTTAATTTAGCATTTTGTGTGTTTAAAATTGGATTTTAGCATTTTGGTGCAGAGGGAATCGATACCCTCATGAGGGAACCGATTCCCCCTTTGAAGGGGAATCGATTCCCCCTAGGGGGATCGATACCCCCTGGGGTTCTGGTTTTATCGGGCAGAACCCTTGTTTTTGCCTCAAATCCTCTATTATCTTAACGCCGTTTCTCCCCTCTACTCTCTCAAATCTCCACTTTGCCTCAAAACAACATTTTTAATCGGAATTCTCTTCAAATATCATCTTCTAAACCTGCTAGCATCATTAAAATTGTGCAAACAACATCAAAATCCACTCAATCTCATCTTTCAAGGTAAATTTTTCTAAATTCTCTATTTCATTGATTTTGAACATATGACTAGTTTTAATTAGTTCTAGATATAAATAGTGATCGGTCATTGATTGTTTAGTGATTAAAAACTAGATATTACAACTAATTTCATAAAAAACACAAGAATTTTCCAAATTTTTGAAAATTTCGAAATAAAAAAATTGTTTTTAAATTATTGTGTTTTAATTGAATTATGTTGTTGTTATGAAAACTATACATATATTGTTTTTCAAAACCTTATTTTTCAATAGTTTTCAAAAACTTTGCCCATTAGGATTGGTTTAGAGAACCTTGAAATATTGAGGACTCAATTGAGTTTGGGATTGATTGAATTGCATACATGTGTTTTCTAAATTGCAGGTTATCCATTCTATTCCGATTTCCTGAACTATGTCCAATCCTAAACGTGCTAGGTATCATCTATTCGCTCAAACCGTCAATCCAACCCACCTCCAAATCCTCCTCCTATTCTTGAAATTCCAATTCCTAATCCTAATCCCATTGATTCTAATATGACTATCCAAAACTCGTGCTTCAATCATCCTGGTCCTATAAATCATCGTTTTTGGTATTATCAATATTTTGACTCTTACAAAATTAGAGAAGAACGTATCCCTTCTCGTCAAGCTATGATAGATATCAATTTTAAATATCTTCCTCTTTTACAAGAGTGGAAATTTGATAAACTTTGTGACCTTGAACCTATAGTTTACCATCAACTTGTTCGCATATTTTATTCTAATGTTGTTTGTGTCAAAAACCAAGCTCAAACTAAGACCATAGGAGTTCGTTCCTACCTCCTAGGACAATTTTTACATATTAACTCGGCTTACATAGCCAAAGCATTAAGATTAGATAATGATGGTATATCAAATGAAAAACATGTTTTAGGTTCTCGTTATAAAAGAAGGGATAGTGCGAGTGTCTTAGACCTTCATGATCGTTTTCTTCATTTAATGATTTCTTGGTGGTTTCGACCATCCGGAGGTCGTTACTCTACTCTTCGTGCTTTAGATATTTGGTGGTTACATTGTTTCCAAAACAATATTAAAATAAATCTTCCTGAGATTATTTTTGCTGAAATCGTTAAAACCGTAAACTTAGTGCCAAATAAGAAACTTTGTTCCTCTCTAGTTTATGGTTGCATTCTAAGTAATCTATTTTCTAAAGTCGGGCTTAGAGTAGGTCTAGATGTCGTCTTTCCTTTAAAGAAACAAATTAATCTTCTTTCTTTAACGAGAGCGGGATGGATAAAGGATAAGGAAACCGGTTCGATCTTCTGAAAATACTCCGGGAGCTAGTTCTTCACGAGCTCCACCAGAAGGTGACGATGATCCCAAGCTTGAACAATTAATGCGAGACATCGATGAAGCCGAAGATGAGCCTGAGCAGCCCGAGGAGCAAGCACAACAATTGGAAATTCTTCAGGAGATGCGTGCAAACAATGAAGCAACCAACGCTCGTATTAATGAACTCACTCATGAGATGGCCGCTATGCGAGCTCGTTTTCCTCATCCTGATCCTCCTACGGATGCTTAATTCTGTGTTTTGCTTTAGTACTTTGAACTTAAAGCTTATTGTTTAAACATTTTGAATGTTTTTGGATTGTTTTCCTTTTGTTGTTGGATATATGAACTTATTTGATGGATTATGGATGTTTGAACTTATATATTTGGTGTGGTTAAATTTCTTCATTCTTGCATCATTTACATCATGTTAAATATATGACCAATTTTGCCATGTCACATTGTTTATGAATATTGATTATGAAACTAATGGCTAACGTTTCTCTTGATTGTGATCTTAGCAGCTTAAACTATATATATAATCAATTAGCTAAATGATTTCAAAACCTTATTTAAAATCTTTTACGGGTCTTTTTGATTTAACAAAAAGGGGGAGAAATGTTATTAAAAGCTTTTTGGAGAGTTTTTGAAGAGGAGTATTGTTAAAGTAAGGGGGAGTAATATTTTTCAAAATCAAAATTCATTTTGAAATTAGAAAATCTTAAAATGTTTTGTTATATCAAAAAGGGGGAGATTGTTGAAAACATTTTGATGTTTCGATATAACAAATTAAATTAAAATAATTTTAATTTTGAAAATAATTTTTCTAAGCATATTCGATATATTAAATCGAATATCAAAATATTACTCAAAGTATTTCAAAGTTCATTTTAAATCCTTACTCAAGTATAAAATTAAGTTTTAATCTTAAAAATAATTTCAAAACGATTTTACAAAATATTTCGAACCATTTCAAAGCCAAAAATTCCAGATTGCTCAGAGGGAACCAATTCCCCCCAAGGGGGTACCGATTCCCCCTGAATGGTTTGGCTCCGAGAATTTCAGTATGCTCGGAGGGAACCGATTCCCCCCAGGGGGTACCGATTCCCACCACTGTTCAACGATTGAAATATTTGAATTTTACACCTAGGAAACCGATTCCCCATTAGGGGTACCGATTCCCCCACGCTCCAAGCATAAATATTAATTGTTTTCACACTTAAACTGCTCAAAAAACTTCATTAATGATCCCCAACGTTCAGAAGTGATTCAAGGTGTATTTAAGCAAGCTTAGAAGCCATTGACCAATAACAAGAAACATCAAGCAACTAGAATCAAGAGAGAATCAAAGAGAAAGCATCAAACCTCAAGTTTAAGCATTTCAAGCATATTTTTCATTCAATGTTCATTTTGCTTTCAAGAACACTTATTGTGCTCAATTGTATTCATTCTTGAGTGTTCTTTTCTTTGTTCTAGAATTGTGCAAACAATCTACCTTGTGAGGATTTCCTTGTAAGTTTGCAAATTTGTATTGTTCTCTTTGGGAGAGTGTTCTCAAGAATTTAGGGTATAATTCTTGAGGGTTTGTAAGGTCACACTTTGTCCTCAAAAGAAAGACAAATTAGTGAATTTGTGGAAAATCCTTAGTGTAGATATCTAAGGTAGTGGACGTAGACTTTGGTTGAGAAATTCGAACCACTCTAAATCGCTGTGCAAATTTCTTTCAATTTTCTGCAAAAGCTTCCACAAAATTTTAATTGCCAATTCACCCCATCTTGGCCATATTCGTCAATCGATTAACTCAACAACATTAACTAATAAAAATACAAAGTAACACACTAAAGGAATATTAAATATTATGAAGTGAAAAAAAAGAAAATATTTATTTATAAACAATACAATTAAATACTAACAAAAAGTTATCATTTCTATTAGGCAGGACCCGATCCGAATAAGAAACCCGTTTTCATGCCCCGTTATCATTTCAACCACGAAAGTCCCCCCCCGGCCCGCGCTTGTAGCTTCGCTAACGTCATTCGGTAAAACGTCCCCATCATTTCCCCGTGGTGATCTGTTAAATATGTACATAGAAGCAAAAAATAATTTTAAAAAATAATTCAAACTGCCATGTTTCAATTTTTAACAGAAATTTCCGAGTTCTCAAACAAGCTTAAAATCCAAACTCTTCCCCAAATGCAGAGTCCTTCCCGCTCTCTTTTCTTCATGTTGCCTACTTTTGACCGTGGTTTAGCAGTGCATGGGCGGTGGTCAGACTCACTCGGACCCGCCGGAAAAGGAAGAGGATGAGCGACAGTCGTCGCTTCCTGCGGTGGTTGGTTTGCGGCTAGATGCTCCTATATTACTCCTGTTTTACTTCCATATGGCTATACGCGCGGAGCTTGCTGAGCTCCGGCGTCTGGCGGTTGCCGCCGCTGAGTATGGGAAGAGTGGTTCACACTCGCGTGAATTCGCGGTTGAGCTGCTTAGAAGGTTCGAGTTTCTTAAGCTAGTTTGTAAATATCACAGCGCTGCTGAAGACTAGGTAAGACGATCTGACTGCACTTTTACTATGTTTGGCTGCCTAGAAAATGAAAGTATAGTAATACACTCGTACGATAAAAAAGAACAAATGATGTTCCTCTCTCCTCTTTAGTTAAAATCTATGAAAACTTCCTCCTCCATTTCTCCGCAATCAAATAGAACAAGCTTTGTATTTCAGTTAAAGTCTTTATTATTGATTTTGTTAACTAATTTTATGAATATAAGATGATCAAGAAATTAACCGACGATTATGTATGAAATAAGCATTAATTTTTTGTTGTTTAATTATCAATAAGTGTAACCAAAACATAAGTTGACTTTTCAAACTAAATAATTTATATGTTTCAGCCATCAGCTTAATAAATTAATCAGAGTTCAGGTATGATATGTGGCTTTTGATTTTATAAGTCGAAGAATTAAAGAAATGAGAAATGGCTGATAATTCTATTAGTAATACGTCGAATAACATTGAGCAAAGCTTATTCAAATTGTTATAGAGAATTGCTCTTTTTGCAACATAGGGTTAAAGTACTCAGACAGCTCATGTTCTAACCGTTAAAAATGCAATTTAGTCCTATAGAATAAGGAGTAACCCGATCCTTGTAAATTTGATATTGGTAGCAAAAGAATTTCTTCCGTTAAGTACACATGTTTTGTCAGATTTCGGAAGTCCAGATTAGCATTTAGATGGTTTTTCATTTAACATAGTTATCAATTTTACTTGTTTGCACCGATATCAAATGTAAAAAAAAATTAATAACCTTGTTTTAAGAATAGATACTTGCTGCATTTTTTACATACAGGGATTGCCTAGGTACTTTAACCTCCATTATAGTATGTGTTGAAGTATGTTTAACTTTCCTATTGACATCAACAGTTCCACGAATATAAACAAAATTTGTTGGCAGGTCGTCTTTCTAGCTCTGGATGCACATGTTAAAAACGTGGCTTGCACAAACTCGCTGGAGCATGAAAGCATAGACCATAGCTTCGATTCTGTTTTCCATTGCTTAAACGCATTGGAGGGAAGTGAAAATACCTCTAAATCACTGCAAGATCTTGTATTTTGCATTGGCACCACTCAATCTTCTATTTGCAAGCATATGTTGAAAGAAGAAAAGCAGGTAACTCTCCTATATTTTGGTTATTAGTTATTTCATTTCTTTTTCCTGTTACATGAATTCTGTTGCCCTTTCCCCATTAGCTTGCCCTTCTATTGTATCATCGTATGTCTATACTGTGAAAAAAAAACATTCTAAGAGGTATTTGGAAGTATAAATTAGCTGAATTCTGTTGCATTTTCCCCATCTATTGTATCATCGTATGTCTATACTGTGAAACTGTTTTAGATGAGAGAACTTTACTGTTGCTATATTTAAATTCAGCAAAAACATTCTCAGAGGAGATATATGATTAGATAGTGTCATCGTATACACAGTTATTGGAGATTTTATACCTTCATAATTAGGTGTATATGCCTCTCTCTGTGTGTGTCCTTGAGATTGCTAGGAATTTATTATTCTATAAATACTTTTGGTGTTTAATAACTCCGCTAATTGTTCTAAAAAAGTGTCACATGTCCATCAAACTATAAATAGGTAAAAACAAGTTACATCAAGTAGGACAATTCTGATGCCCTAAGTTACATCTGTTTTCTTTTCGATTACCTATCAACTGAACAACAATATTTTCTACTCTTAACACCTTAATTAAATGCCCTCATCAGAGCAAGCATACAAAAAGAGGAACTCACTATCTTATGAATAAGCAACTTCTACATTATCAACAATTTTTAGACTAGAAAACCATGACATCTATTGATTGATTACATGACCTTTTGTATAATTTAGTATGTCTTTAAGGCAATTGACAGATATCTAAAATAGCGAGAGATAAATTGCAAACTTCTCTTTGTATGTCTCTGTGTTGCCTTTTCAGTTGTTTATCTTTCAATTTTAAGCACAATAAACTCTTTAATGGTGACACTCAAAGAATTAAAGTAAGGATAGTTTATTTGTTTATTGACAGCAGTTACAACAATTAACTTTTTAATATAGTTGTGTTCCTTATGTTGGGCAAGTCAATACATACCTGACTAACCAATTTGTTACAATCTTATGCGCTACTTGCAGGTTTTTCCTCTGCTAGTTAAACAGTTTTCTTTCCAAGAACAAGCTTATCTGGTGTGGCAGTTCCTTGGTAGCATTCCTGTAATTCTGCTGCAGGATTTTCTACCATGGATGGTCTCCTTTTTTCCTCCGGAGGAGCAAGAAGAAATTAAAAAATTTATAAAAAATATTGTACTAAAGGAAAAGTCATTGCAGGAGGTAGATCCCTTGTTATATTCTTACCAGAATTTGATTAATCTTCCTAATGGTAACAAATTTAACAATTTTTGAAGGTGGTAGTATCCTGGTTAGATAAGAAACACCAGGAGGTTTTCGAGTTTCACACTGAGCTTGCAAAAGGAGTTGGACCTCTTGATGGACCCATCTTTATCAAAAGCAAATCCAAATTCCATTTAATCAAGAAGCCTCTTGGATGGATGAAAGTGCATTGTTTCCCAACAAAGATTGGGAATAGTCCAATTGATTGTCTTCTTCTCTGGCAAGGAACCATTCAAAGAGATTTGAAAGAAATTTGAGCAGAGCTGTATCAAATAAAAGAATCAAGCTGCTTTCAAAATCTTGATTTGACTATACTCCGAATGAAATTCCTTGCTGATATCTTAATCTTGTACAGGTAAATATGTTTTCTGAAACATCTTTGTAGACTAATTAAAATTTATTTGAATAATTTCTACTTTAATACTTTGTCTGTACCAGGAAATACCTCAATCGTCATTCCTTACGCTATTATTTATTTATCTTCGTGTCCAGATTTTCAGAAGTTGTTTTCTTATTTGCAGCAATGCCTTGGAGAAGCTCTTTTACCCTGTCTTCGTTGATGTTTGCAACATTCAGCTGTCTCTGCCCACACAAGATCTCTATATCGTGAGTCATATTGAACATTTACTGTATTTGCTGCATCGCAATAATCAAAAGAGGATGCCGGAAAAGGAGTTTGTGGGGGAGCTGTGCCAGAAACTAGTGTCCTTGGTGATGAACATTGACAAAAAGTTTAGTTTACAAGAAAATGAGGTATAAAATGATTTTTTTTTATACATTCTTATACTGGAAAGTAGGATAAAATGGGTTCTACTGAAGCTTTGATTTTCAGTCATGATATTTCTTTGTAATTACAAACCCATTACATGTCCAATAATAACTAACTGAAGTTTTGCCCGGATGACTTCCATTAACCAATTATTAAAACGTTTGCTACATTTTCCTTTGACACTTTGCCAGTTTCTTTGACTTCCATTAACCAATTATTAAAACGTTTGCTACATTTTCCTTTGACACTTTGCCAGTTTCTTTCAGTTATTCCCTGTCATTGGCAAGAACTGCAGTAAAGAAATGCAGCAGCAGCTTCTTTACTTAAGTCTCCAGGTGGTGCCACTTGGATTGCTAAAATGTGTGATCACCTGGTTTGCTGCTCATTTATCTGAGGAAGAATCTCGGTCCATCCTGCAGAATATAAAGCAGGGAAATTCTTTGACCAATAAATCTTTTGCTACCCTTTTATTGGAGTGGTTCCATAGAGGTTACTCAGGAAAAATCTCAGTTGAAAATTTTAAGAGGGACTTGGAGAAATTGTTCAGCTGCAGATGCTCTTTCCTTCCTGTGTCAATTGAGGAGGAGGCTGAATCTTGTTCCTTTCTTTCCGATATGTCTCTTGGTAAAGGATCTAAATCTCAGCTTATTAAACCAGTCTTTGTTAACAAAGGAAAGAAGGATTTCCCTTTTTCTTCAGCCAGCTCCCATGGCATTAAGCACATTGTGACATCATACTGCAGCGCAATCAATCTGCATATATTTTCCCCCAAAATGACGAAGGATTTATATTCTTCTTCATACTTATCTGTTGAGAAGAATTGTGTTGATTGTGCCGTTGGTGAACCGGTACCGCTGGATTTGATTTTCTTCTTTCATAAGGCTTTAAAGAAAGATTTAGATTACCTTGTCCTTGGTTCAGCTCTGCTGGCTGAAAATGCTTGGTTTCTCCCTGAGTTCCACCAACGCTTCCATTTGATACACTTCTTATATCAGATCCACAGTGATGCAGAGGATGAGGTAGCTTTTCCAGCTTTGGAAGCAAAGGGAAAACACAGAAACATCAGCCACTCTTACTCGCTAGACCATAAAATAGAAGCTGAAAACTTCAGCAAAATATCCTTCATTTTGGATGAGATATATGAACTGCAACTTGGATATTCTAGTGGTGAACCAATGACACTGGACTGGGTAGTAAAGCACCAGAAGCTGTGTATTGATCTCCAAGATGCATGCAAATCTATGCATAAGTTTCTCTTTGATCATGTGTACCGTGAAGAAGTTGAACTTTGGCCCTTATTTGGAGAATGCTTCACCCTCAAGGAGCAAGAAAGGATCATAGGAAGCATGCTTGGAAGAACAGGAGCTGAAATATTACAAGATATGATACCCTGGCTTATGGCATCTTTGACTCCAGATGAGCAGCAAACTGTTATGTCGTTTATGGCACAATGCCACCAGAAATACAATGTTTGATGAATGGTTTGGAGAATGGTGGGAAGGACATAAAATAGCCAAGGACACAGGGAATTCAACTGTTCCTTCATGGAGCGCAGATCCTTTGGAGATTATCTCAACATATTTTCCAGAAGTCTTTGACAAAAAAGAAGCCATTTGTGACATTTTATTAGGAACTAATTCGAATGGTGCTGAGATTGATCTGTTAGGATTGTCCAACATAGATGATAAAGTAAGGGCGTCTAAAGGTGATGAAAACTGTTCTGAATGTTCAGGACTGCTTAGTAGGAACAATGACAAGCGATGCAATGAAGCAGGTGATCCGATGGGCAGGACTAATGAACCAGATCAAAAGTTTCAAGTGACTCAGAATACTGGGAAATGCAAGCAACTAGAGAATATGAGTCAAGAAGATCTAGAGGCTGCCATAAGAAGGACGTCCTCTGACACATCCTTAGATCCTAAAAGGAAATCATATGTGATGCAGAATTTGCTGATGAGGTAGGTAATAAGAATTCCTTTTCTGTAAAATGATATCTTTTAAACTTTAGGAGAATACTTGAGGTCCTTGTAGGCTGCTTTTAGGATCATCTAAACACTAAACACTTGTTGCACATGCTTATAATTGGCTTGGTTGGTAGAAAATCCTATCTGCGAGAACCAATGAGCTAACCGCTCATACATTAGTCTCAAATGAAACGATTTGCTGCTACAAAATATAATTAATACCTGAGGTTTTATTAGTTTATGTATTTATTTAATTTATAGTGCTTACATGTTTTCTATATCTTCATGGAATTTTGATGCTAGTTTACCCTGGTACAGTCGTTGGATTCTTAAAATCAAGTAATGGAGAAGGAATTCCAGGTCAGCATCCATCTTATCGAGACCCTCTGGAACTAGCTTTTGGTTGTAAGCACTACAAGAGGAACTGTAAACTTTTTGCTCCTTGTTGCAACCAGCTTCATACATGCATTCATTGCCATAATGAGGTGGCTGATCATAAATTGGATAGGTCATAACACTTCAAATAAAAGTTTGCTTTACCCTTTAAAAGTTCTAAATTTTGTTTCTCTTCCTCACATTTTCCTGCTGTTCCCAACAAATATGCAGAAAATCTGTCACAAAAATGATGTGCATGAAATGCTTGGTAATTCAGCCAATTGCATTAACATGCTTAACGGTTTCTGCCATAATCTATCAATGGGAAAATATTATTGCAAAATCTGCAAGTTATTCGATGATGAAAGGTGATGTACTTTTTTAGTTGCTCTGATATAGTTTCTTTACTGTGTTGAAGATTGATTTTGGACATTTCTGGACACCTTACTGGGTGCAACTAAACTCTCAATCTCTTCAATCTTCATTGCATAATGTATCGGTTTCTGATTTCCTTCTCAATTTATATAGCAAATGAAATCCAAATCCAAAATTTCAAATATGTTTCCAAACATAACATTAATCTAGGCCAAGTTTAAAGCTATTGTGAACTACCTATCTGGTAACATAGAAGGTTGTTAACTCCTTGAATATATATTTATAAATGGTTTAACATGGAAAATTTTCAACAGGCAAATTTATCACTGCCCCTACTGTAACCTCTGCCGAGTCGGGAAGGGATTGGGTGTGGACTATTTTCACTTCATGAACTGCAATGCCTGCATTTCACGATCTCTGTCAGTGCATACATGCAGAGAAAAATCTTTTGAGGACAACTGTCCTGTTTGTCGTGAAGACTTCTTCAGCTCTACAGCTCCAGTAAAAGCATTTCCATGTGGACATATGATGCACTCAGCTTGTTTTCAGGTACTCGAGTCTGATGTTCTCTCTTTCTCCCCGCAACTTTCACCTAAATGCAGCCGAATTTATCTGCTTATCGTGTTGTTTCTAGGACTATACTTGTATGCACTACACCTGCCCAATCTGTAGCAAGTCACTTGGGGACATGCAGGTTTGTTTCTCCTTCTCTCTCAATGAATGTTAACGTAATAGAGCTAAGTTGACTTCATCTTCTAATCATGTCTGCACAAATCAGTCCTTGTATCTGAAATTGCCTATTGCATTTGATACAATTTTCGGAGAGAATTCTTATGGTTTCTCATAGTAGTGCTTCACCGCTGATAGCAATATATTGGTGATTCTTCCCTAAAACGTACTTGTTTAAGATCTACACTAATTGTTTAGGGTTTAAACATCCGTAAAAACAATTATTTTTCGTGTAATTACTACTCTCATTGTAGTCTCAATTACTTGGGATGATTGGAAAATTAACATCATCTTAAAGTTTTATTACCCTTTTCTTTTCGGAGTTTTATCCTGTAATTAATGCTTCAAAATATGTAAGTAGCCAAACTTTTTTAGAATCAGTATAGCAATCAGGAACCTTGAAGAGATCTAAACTCTACAAACTGAAAAATCAAGTAATCGAATAACTAGATTAAAAGACATCTCTTATGTGTATCGGTTTGATCCGTGTTTGAATTTGATTTAGTCTTTAACCTGTGAGTAGATACCTGAGTACTAATAGCAGAGATGAACGTTCAATTTGGATTACCTGCTTGTTTAAGAACTATCTGTAGAAAATGACGATGACTTGATCCGTTGAGGAGGAGTTGAATGATCCTTAAACCTTTAAGGACGTTTTGCAGGTCTATTTTAAGATGCTGGATGCATTTTTGGCTGAAGAGAAAATTCCAGACGACTATCATGGCCGAACTCAGGTTCATCGTGTTCTTCATTTCTGCTGGTTTATCATATGCACTCCTCCTCTAATGTTATAGAATCTGTGTTTTAACCGAACAGAGAACTTGTATTCAACATTCCAGGTAATACTATGCAATGACTGTGAGAAAAAAGGAACAGCTCCCTTCCATTGGAAGTATCACAAATGCTCAAACTGTGGTTCATATAACACAAGAGTTCTGTGATTCTGCTAGCATAGATAGACGAATCTCTCTCCATTGCACGGCTTCATTGCCAGTCTAAAGATTCCGGTCGAAACCTCAGCTCGACCATGGAGATCATATCTAAGGTCGGTCTAGTATTTTCATTTGGAAAAAATAATTCTACGAACCCCGCATGCTTTCGTTAAATAAAACCAAGAAACAGATTCCTGTTATCCAAGTGTTTTTTCAAGTGATGTTTTCCCATTAAACTGTATGCAATGATTCTGCTTTTAAAAGTGCCCGTACTAGCTAAGTGGGACAATGGATTTGATGCTCTGTGTTAGAAATATATATTGCTATAGTTAGTGTACTATTTTTGTTGGCTCAAATTTCATTTCTTATATATTTGATATATTATATGTTGATATAATTACCATATCATATGATGTATCAATATTATAATAAAAATAATACTTTAATAGAAACCGACTAGTCTAGTGGTCAAAGAAAGCTTATCAACAAACTCACGTTACGGGGTCATGTAATAGGGTTTATCTGTGCATATGTGGTAGCGATTTGTTTCTATTAGAGATATATGAGTTGCATTAATTATAGGTAAAGTATTTAAATAATCGTTTTAAAAAATAAAGGGTAAAGTACATTACTGGTCTCCCAACTATAGGATATTACTCTTTGTTGAGTCCCCAGTTATTAAAAGTTACAAAATGATTTCCTAACTATAGGGAGTTGTTTTGTTGAGTCCTTAGACTATTAAAAGTTACAAAATGGTCACTCGACTATTCATTATTTTTCAAACTCGTCATTCTCCGTTAAAAATTGATGGTAGTCTGAGTTAGACATTAACCTGCTGATTGAGATATGATAAAATTTGATCTCATAATCTCAAACGACTATCATATCTCATTCAACATATTAATGTCTAACTCAAACAATCGTTATTTTTTAACGAAAAATGACGAGTTTGTAAAATAAAAGATAATCAGATGATAATTTTGTACTTTTTAATAGTTGACATAACTAAAGAAATGTTTTACCTCTCATCCGTACGTTTAATTGGTTTATTTAGATGACTATAGTGGTGTTGTTAACAATACAAGGAGTTCTGATGTAATTTGAGACTATAATCTCCTTTCTTTTTTATCAAAAGAGGAGATAAAAGATCGAATTTAATTTATTTTTTAAATAATTATTTGAGTAGTGATTTATGTTTTCATTTTAAAAATAAGATTTAATTTATTTTTAGGCAAAGAACACAAATGGTTAATTGGTTTATTTAGATGACTATAGTGTTGTCATGGAGCTTTTAATCATCATGCCAATTATTTCATTGATCTCTCCATTAGCATGATTAAACTGACTTGGTTTAGATTGGTTTAAATTTCTTTAATAATTCTTATTAAAGATAGATTATCGAGACCTTAAAAGATAAATCTTATTCAGTAAATAAATTTTTATAGCAACGATGAATAAGATCGAATTCATAAAGATAAAACAAATTCAAGATGGAGATAATTGAAGCCTTGAATGTGAGTGTCCAGATTCGGGTCTCTTCTCGGATCTCTTGCCTTTCCCCATTGACGATGTTTTGTTGGCTGCTAAGTGAATTCTGAAATGAAAAACTAAAATCCACAAAACCTCAACGTCTTGGTGTTCAAAGCTTGAGCCGGTTCGGGTCAGAATTAAAATGGATCCTGGAATAGGCTCCTCTTGGATGTATAACCCAAAATAAATATAATTTTGATCCTACACTGTATATAATGCAATACTCTTAAATTAATATAATTTTTTTTTATATTGTGTAAATTAATCGTACTCATATATATTGTTTTATTTGAAAAGTGCATTGCAATTAATTTTACTTTATTTACTATAATATTGCAAAGCAGCATTGCATCCAATTATTGGGGCTTTTGCTTTATGTACGATGGGATTTGAGTGCTTATTTTGCCTTATCTTCCTATTGAAAGCAGCCACCCACCCATCCATACAAGTACTTTAGAAAGAGACAACTTATGTATTTCATATTCAATTTAATTTCTTCCGATATTTGATTCTAATTTTATATCTAATGTAAATTTATTATCGGCTAGTTTTTTTATTCTAATTTTATATCTAATGTAAATTTATTATCGGCTAATTCTAAAAAACATCCTACTTTAAACTTAAAAATCACACATAACATATCAATGTCATACATTTAGTTTTGATGAAAGAACTTTAACGAGGTTTTTATGTATAAACAAAAATTTTAACAAAAATATTTATCAAAAATTCAATAAAAATGCATAAATAATTGACATCTCACTTCAATGAATTCAAATCTTATTAGTTGGAAACCTTACATAATCCCTTTTATTTCTATATCAGATTTCCATTCTCGACACAGGCAAGAACGTAAAAGCTTCATGTTACAATATTAATTCTATATATCCATGGTGGAACCCCATCATTTCGTGTACGTGGCTACCATTAAGTGTATACACACATATATATATATATATATATATGTATCCTTCTGTAGGGACGTGGCTGGGGCGGCGCGAACTGCACAATCGTGTAGGCCCCAAAAAAGTATATATATAGTGACATTTTTTCAGTAAACGTTACTATAGATGGACCTATTGCGACGTTTTTTTAAAAAACGCCACTATTATTGTGCAGACCCCAAAAAAAATGCCAAAAATATATATATATAGTGGCGTTTTTCCAATAAACACTACTATAGTAGACCTATTGCGACGTTTTTTAAAAAAAAGGCCACTATTGTTGCCCCGAAATCGAATATATCTAAAAAAAATAGGGCCCTTTATAAGAATTTGTACAGGACCCCCGAAAACCTAGCCACGGCCCTGTCCTTCTGACAAATTTTAGGTAGGATATAGAATTATCAAGGTAGCGAAAACATTTATGTCTATATATATATATATATACACATACCCAACGTAATATTGGTGTTGAAAACACATGGCCTGGTTGGTTTGTTAAAATTATTTAATAAAAAATAAGTTTTTTAATTGAAATGTTGTGTTTAAATTTGTTTTAGTATTTATTTTTAAGATTAGTAATTATTTTCTTAATATTATTAATTTTATAGTTTAAAGTAAATTATATTTTAAAAAAAATATATAATCTATCTCGTTATTATGTCTAACCTTTGATCTATAAGACTGAAGAAAACTAATTGAATCGACAAATAAAAAGGACAAGGGTCCATGCAAGAGGGTTGGAGCCAGCTATGAAGCAATCTGATTCTGATCTCATTGAGCTGGCTTCTGTTCCATGACCCCTTTCCTCGAACAGTCGACAATACAAATGGATAATGGTGGGGATATGTAAACTATATGATTTTACATCAGAGTTGTTTAAATTTGGTTTTATTTTTTAATATTTTGATAATCATTTCCGTTTATAATTTTTAGATATTAATTAAAATATCTTTTTGATAGATAGAAATAGTTAGTTATTAACTATCAATATAACTTATTGATTATAATGAATTACGTGAATTGAAATGGCAACGTGATATTTTCATATGTGATTTGATATCTTAATAAAAAAATATTATTATTCTTGTAAATTATTAATTAAATAATAATATTTTTATTAAAATAACTAACAATTATTTAGTATAGTGGGATGAGATACTAGATTCCTTAAGTAAAGTTAAGGGTTCAAACTCTGACGTTTGAGAATGGAGCAAACTGGGTTAGGAGGGTCACCATAGCCTTTGCAATACCCGATCTGGATTAGTCGATTAATAGATTGAATATCAATGATTAATTAAAAAAAATATTGATGTGTCATTCTATCGCACTATCGCCTCATTATACATGAAAATGTCATGTCAATATTTCAATCTATGTGAACCATTATAGTTAGCAAGATGCGTTGATCATATTCAACTAATAGTTTTCATTCATTGAAAAATTATTTTGGCCTAAAATAAAATGTTGAGAGTTAAAGTGCTTAAAAGAATAAGGGTGTCAAATTGATTATTCAAGCAAACATTAAAATGAATTTTGACATTATATCATTTTGTCTCATACAAGTTTTGCTCTTATTTATATGAATCAAACGAACTTATTGATAAATGGATGATTGTTATCCTAAAGATTTTGAGTTCGAGCACGATTGCAGGGACGTTTAAGTATTTATCGCCAAGTGATTGAGAATCTTTCGAACAAATATAACTTTGTAAACAACCTAGACTAATAAAAAAAAAGTTTTGGTCTTACTTTTACAAAATTTTTGTGGGTTTAATTTTGTTATCATCCCTCCAATCTATAGATGCTCAATTCTTCTTTAACATATGTGTTTTCATTGGATTCAATGAGATGCTAATAAGATGATTTTTATCGAATTAAAGTAATCTTATTTCGAGTATACTGTTTGAATTAAGAAGATTTTCTTCATAGTTATTTTTAGTGATGATAATTGTTCGGATAGTATTAATTCTTTACAAGAAATTAAATACGACTGTATTGATAAAATTTAGTGACTTGTAAATAATATATCATTGAAATTTTAATAGTTATAATATTATTGGGTAAAGTATATAAATGGTCCCCCAACTATAGGGTGATGCTTTATTGAGTCCATCGACTATTAAAAGTTCCAAAATGGTCCTTTGACAATAGGGTGTTGCTTTGTTGAGTCCCCAAATATTAAAAGTTACAAAATGGTCACCCGATTATTTAGTATGTTCCAAACTCATCATTTTCCGTTAAAAATAGGCGGCAGTTTGAGCTAGATGTTAACATGATGATTGAGATATGATAAAATTTGATCCCATAATCTAAAAAATCTATCATATATCAGTCAACAAGTTAACATCCAACTCAATCTGTTGTCAACTTTTTAACGAAAAAGTATGAGTTTGGAATTTACTAAATAGTCGAGTGACCATTTTGTAACTTTTAATAGTCGGGAGACTCAACAAAGTAACACCCTACAGTTGAAGGACCATTTTGTAACTTTAATAGTCGAGGAACTCAACAAAGCATCACCTTATAATCGATGAACTATTTACATACTTTACCCACTATTATTTACATTGTAAATTAAGATTTCAATTGAAAGATAAAATAAAGTTTCAGCTAAAATTTAATTTAAAAATATATTTATAATAATCTTATCCAATCATATTTTTTATCATTGGATTCAATCATATTTTAATGAAACCTACCAAATTTAGAAGAATAATTATATTCTTTTAAGGGTAAAGTATAGTAATGGTCACTGAACTTTTCTAAAGCTTGCATTTAGGTCCCTCAACTTTTAAAACTTGTAATACAACCCTCCAACATTTAGTCCGTTTGTAAT